GTGTAATTCCTCAAGATCTTTTAATGTCTACGTTTATAGCAATTCCCAAAAAAGATAATGCAAAAAAGTGTGGTGATTATAGAACTATAAGCCTGATGAGTCACGTTTTAAAAATTTTCTTAAGAATAATTCATACAAGAATATATAAAAAATGTGAAGAAGATTTAAGCAACACACAGTTTGGGTTTAGAAAATCTTGTGGAACAAGAGAAGCTCTTTTTGCTTATAGAGTTCTGGTAGAAAGAAGTTTAGAGGTTAACAAGGATATATACGCCTGTTTTATAGACTACGAAAAAGCATTTGATAGAATTCTGCATGATAAATTAATAGATATACTTGGGAAGAAAGGAATTGATAGAAATGAATTGCAAATTATAACAAATCTTTACTGGGAACAGAAAGCCAACATTTCAATTGATTCTGAATTATCTGAAGAAATAGAAATAAAAAGAGGAGTAAGGCAAGGATGTATTTTATCACCTTTACTTTTTAATATTTATTCAGATGAAATTTTTAAAGAAGCTTTAGAAGATATGGAACACATTGGGATTGTAATAAATGGGATGAATGTAAATAATATACGTTATGCTGACGATACAGTGGTTTTAGCAGAAAATATAAATGATTTGACAATACTAATGGAAAAGATTAATTCAATAAGTAAATTATATGGACTTCAGATGAATTATAAGAAAACAAAGCTACTTATTTCATGCAAGAAAAATATAGATAATGTAACGTTGCAGATACAAAACAGGACAATTGATACAGTTTCATCAATTAAGTATTTGGGGACTATCATACAGGAAGATGGCAGATGCATTAAAGAAATTAAATCTAGAATAGAAAATGCGAGAGGTACTTTTATCAGAATGCAGAAATTTTTCAAATGCAATGTTTTTAATTTACATCTTAAAATTAGAATGTTAAGGTGCTATGTGATGTCAGTTTTGTTTTATGGAGTAGAAACGTGGACCCTAGATAAAAATACGTTAAACAAACTTGAAGCATTCGAAATGTGGTTATATAGAAGAATTTTAAAAATATCTTGGACAGATAGAATAACAAATGATAAAGTTTTGGAAAGAATGGGGAAAGAAAAAGAAGTTTTAAATACAGTTAAAAGAAGAAAGATGGGGTATTTTGGCCACATCATCCGAGGAAGTAAATATGAAATTTTGAGAAATATTTTAGAGGGAAAAATCTGTGGAAAGAAAAGCCCAGGAAGGAGAAGGAAAAGTCGGTTAGGTAATATGTGAATGGAATAATAAGAAAGCAGAAGAACTCACACGTGAAGCACAATTGAGATTGTTATAATACTAGTCCTACATTCAGAAATGAATATGGAACCAGAAGAAGAAGAACCAAATGTTCAAGCCATTTTAAATTCAAATTTGTTATTGCATATTGGTTTGATTATAGAACAATAGTAAATGTTCCAGAAAATTGATCAAATTGAAAACATTTTGTTTGATTCTCATCATTCTCAGCAATAGTTATATAACAATTACTATGGTTGTTGAAATACTGAATATAAATGGGGTTTGCTTGCAAGCTCTGTGTGGGCAAACAATTAATGAAGATATATATATATTCCTTCATTAATTGTTTGATGAACATATAGGTTTTAATACAATTTATTTCAGTTATATCAAGAATACAATTGAATTTATTTTCTCTCTCTTCTTGATATCTTCAGAATTTATAAATTTTTCTTTGATAATTATTGAATTTGTCTATCTTTTTTCTGTTTTCATCAAGAATTTAGCAATGGTGGGAAAATGGTCTGCACATCAAACATTTATTATATTTTTGCATTTTAGCAAGAATGTACCAATACATACTGAAAATTAGCTGATAGTTTTATTACTGTAATAATAATGTGGTATACAGTAATACCCCGAACTTACGCGATAGGTGGGACCAAGCAATAACCGCATAAGTCAGGGTATAATTTTGCATATAAATACATACAAATAATTTTTAATTGGGGCCAGAGACTAAAGAAAGCAATAATTTAGAAAAAAATGTTTAATAAAATCTTAGATAATACATATGTATAACAAATTATATTATACAATTTTTCACATTTACTTGATTATCACACCATAATTTTAACATTGTTTCCATCTCAGCGATAATACTGTGACGTTTACGAATGATGCTTGAATTTAAAGATTGAGCATTTTTCACAGCTTTGAAAATTTTTTCTTTACCTTTTATAATTGTTCTGACTGTTGATTCTGGTAGATCAAACTTCTTTGCCAATTCACAAATTTTCATTTTTGTATCGAAGTCTTTAATAACGTTAACTTTACATTCAAAAGATAAAGTGTTTCTTTTCTTGTTTGATGCAGAAGAACCAGTTCTACTTCGTTTGGATGACATAGTAGTCTCTCTCAAGTCTCTGTAGGTATAACAAACACAGAAATAAATAACACAAAAAAAAATTGTAGCTATGCGTCAATTCCGTGCAACATGTCTGAACATGTAAGCTGAACAATTGTGTGGGGGAGTGAGTAATCAAGAG